CATGGTTATCCAGTCAGGAAGAAGGTAGACAGACTATGTTTAGGGCACATTTTCGAGCCCCTTCCCCATGTGGGGTGAGCAGAGTGAATCTTAAAGCGGGCTGCTCAGTCTCAGTTACCGTTGCCAAATTGCACTCCTGCCTCATCCAAGTGCTAGATAACCTTCTTGTAACTACCATCTTCATGCCAGTTCATGAATAGGAGCTTCTAGACCTCATAATCCTACTCCTGTCATCACCAGCTGATTACCAAAGGGCTTGAAAAATGTACTAGAAAAACTGTTTTCACGGAAGATGCCTGTGCATGATTTCTTTGATAATGGAAAAGCTGCTTCACATCAGCTTCCATACAGTTGTTTAAAGAATGGGACCTTAATCCAATGGCAAGGAGGCCCAGACAACTGGAGAGTGCATTCTCTTGCAGCCTTTGTCCACCTTCAAAACTGTTGAGATTCTAATGTCTTCTTCCACCTGCTCTGCCACTGAGGACTTATAGACCCATGGCTGGGGGCTAGGCAGGCTTATTATAGTGGTGACCTGTACTTGCCATGGCACAGCACTGTCAAAGGATATATGTGGCTCTTCTGGAGGGACAGCATTGCCAGCTGCTGTCCCAACCACATTCTGGTAGTGCTGCTGCTGCTTGGTCCACAACTGTTTATTTGTCAGAGTTACCTCTACTTATTTTGTAGCTAACCTTCCCTGAAGGTCATTCCTCTATCTGCTACCTGTGGATGCACTGGGTAGCAATACCACTATCCCACCAGCATGGACTAGAGGAGCCAAGTAGATGAGGGAGTGAGATCTTTTGTAACAGAGGCCGAAATCACCAGTTGTCTCACACACAAACATACACAGACACTGGGGACAGGCAGGAAGAATTAAAAAATCAAAAGCTAGGCCAAACATATAAAACAGTCTTTAAAAAACAATCATGAATCTTGGGCCACACAGTTGAGATTTTGAGATGTTTTATCCTTTAGGATTAGAAAGGGCCCAGCAACACGTTAATTACAGGTGGCACTACCAACTTCAAATGCATTAAATGTCTATTTCTGCTCCAAGTCCTTTCAACTGACTTGGCTCAGTAACATACTCCTGGGGTGAGAGCCACAGGCTAATTCCTACATTATTATCCCCTCTCATTTGCTATAAAGGTGTTATAAATGTAGGTACTGTATTCTCTGTTTCAGACAAATGTCTCAATAGCTATCTTTTACCCTACATGTCTACCTTACATGCCTCCCATGGTATCTGCTGGCTACCCAATCTTCTACTATTTATCCTCACAACATCCTGTGGGATAAAAGAAGTAGTATTAGCTATATTTTACAGGTTGCAGAAAGAGATTTATCCCTGGTCACAAATTCTGCCATTCATAGAGCAGGAACAGAACCTGCTTCTCCCACTGCCTACACTAGCATTCATATCACTAGGCCACCCCTCCTATTCTTTAACAGCTGCTGAATTTATAAAGGTTCAGATACACATCAGGAAGCTGAGATATTTACAACAACTCCTTCATTTCAGAGGTCTCTTAAAACAGTCCTTTTCATGCGTGATTTACAGGGCTACCACAGTAGTTTGGGCAGGGCTAGGACTACTGTGGATGCAGCTCTTCTTGATTTCTCAGTGTTTCTCATGGAAAACTGGAAGCTCAAAGATTTAAGAGATTAAATACATAGATTGTGCTAAACAAAGAGAAACATACTGTCAAAAGTGGGTCCATTCAAGTCATCCGAAAGGCTCAGATTGGTTCTCACATATCCAAACAGCTTTGTCTCTACCCTGTTTGAAGGTCAAGCCCTGCAGTCCTCTGTCTTTACTCATTGAGTCTAGTGGCCAACAGCATTTCAGGAATTGGTCCTCATGCAGGAGTCTCCTATTTTGATCTACTTTCTCACCAGCACACTGCCTGTGGAAACAGTGTACTGTATCATGAGGATCAATCCAGGCTATCTATCAGCATTTATACCATACTCTTCACTGAAGCAGCTGAGCACAAGTGTATCCTGCCCTGGCCCAGGGATATACTAGCAATGATCACATCTTTGCCATCTTTCACTCCACCTATTCTTTATGTTCCAACTACTCTCTCAGGAGTTTCCTTCTTTACCCTTAGTAGGCTATACCTTTAGTGGGGTAGTACTTTCAACCCCTCTGTATCACTCGAGGGTTGATTAGATGTTGTTACACTCTCCCCCTCTCCTCAGGACTAAAGACCAACTAAAGTAAGTCAGACAGTTCTTCCCAAGTGCATATTTTAAATCTCTGCCATCCATTGCCAGCAGCTGGTACAAGCTATTTATCTAAAGCATACCCCTGCCCCTTCTATACTCTGACTTCACTGTCCTGCCTGCCCTCTTCACTCCAGCGGCTCCCTACTTACTGTGCTGTGAGGGGAGATTGGCAGCATTACCTACCTGTACACAGAATGCTTCATTCACAGGACACCTGACACCAAGATTTACAGCCACCTCTAGATGTCAGATTATAAAGGTAGAGTTGTGTGTGAGCCAGTAACTATACCTGTTTGTTACAGAAACAAAAATGAGTCTCTCATTCATCAGTGTATGATGAGGCTACAATGTAAATGTTGTTTCAAATAAGACATGGAGTCATTGTGCCATGGTTCAATCAGCAGGACTCTGTTGCGTTAGCACTTCTTTTCCAGTTAAGAATCCATGGACATTTGCTTCCCAACAGCTGCACCTTGGGTTGAGAAGCAACATTCAGTTGAAACAGTCACATTGTGCCTGATATGGGACAGAAACCAAGGATGCCTCCATGGTTTTCAGTTTTTACCGTAACTGGGTTCCAAGGCTCAGAACCCCTGAGTCTCCTGTCTCTCTAAACGTGTCCCTGAACATAGGCTCACCAAAGTATTTGTGATTCTCAAAGAGCCTCTAGTAGGCATCCAGTCAATTTAGGACTTAATGTTCCCATGCACTGCACCTGTACTAGTTGATTTATCTTCTCAGCCTACTCTAATAGCAGGCCAAGTTTTGCTAGGCTCTTTTCATTACACGTTTTACCAGGGTCTGGATTCTAGCTCCTGAGAGCCAGATGCACAAAATATACGTGTGGCAATCTCGGACATCCTGTGTCTTTTCTCATCGTGTTAGCTACTCCTATCACAACCCCTTCTACCAAGGGAGCAAGGCCTAAGAGCAAGGAGAAAGTGGTGGTCATCACCTACTGCAACAATTTGGGGAAGGAATGCATTTAATGCTGTGGTGCTTTTCTGAACAATACCATTCATATGGCAGCACACACTGGTGAGCAGGTGAGTCAAGAGGATTTTCAGATACATGCTTAGCTCTGAAGAGTTATCTAGCCCAGTATAATCTATGAGGGAAAGCATATGGATACCTAATGCACTAATTTTTTATGAGCTGCTCTAGCCCAGTTGCCCCTCACTTCCTAGGACCCAAGGTGACTTTTAGATATCTGTCCCTTCTAAGATACTCTCATGGCACTGGGAGCAACAGCAGTAGCTGCCTAGAGAAGCAAACCTTGTAGTGCTGACCATGGAAGGTTTTACTAATAAGAATATATCTTGCTCTTCTAAAGCATAAAAATCCCATCTGCCCTGCAAGGTGAACCCTGCTGACTAACAGTTACTCTGAGGAGGAGATCTCCTTCTCTTCTGCAGAGCAGGTGAAGTTCCAGGGCTCTGTTGCACTTTATACACCATACCTAATTCACCTTCACACTCTCCTTTGTAGGTGGCTTAGTACGATCTCCAGTGACAAGACAGAAACAGAGGCACAATGTGGAGGAGACACTTGGCCAAGGTCATGCAGGACATCCTGTGGCAGAGCTAAGGGCAGAATTCAAGAGTTCTGAGTCCCAGCCATGTGCTCTGACACCTGACTATCCTACGCAAAGTGTAGGGCAGGGGGAAGAGGGAAAGCAAACGGTTTGAAAGCCTCAGGATTCTGCCAACAATCCCCACTGGTCTCTTAGTAAGTGCATTCCAGCCAGATTCCTGTCCTAACAGCCAAGTGTTACTGAGAAACTGGTTTCAATAAAAGGAAACAATACAAAAGGGAAGTTCCATTTTCTTTGCTAAGTGGGCCTAGTGCCACTTTTATTTTTTACACTCAGATGGTCCATTCTGAGCCTGGCTCTGGCACAATGCAGGGCAAAAACAATTAATGTAACCGTCTGGGATTTGAAAAGAGTATAGATCAAGTGTCTTACATTTGCTAAGCTCCTTCTCATTTGGCATAGAATGAATGCATCTTGGCTGCTTCCACCAGCAATAATTGTGCTTCATATATCCTCAATCAGATGCTTTTAAATGACCAGTCAGAACCAGTGGCAATGAAAATAAGGTGCAGTGACATTCACTGTTCTTGAGAAATCTCCTACCATCTCCTACAGATTTGTTTTGGCAAAGGTGAGCTCAGAGGCACCTTGTCCCTTGTACTACTCTACTGGCTCTCTTTTCCCAGAAACTCAGCTCTCAGAATGAGACAGAGAAGGGGTAAAATATATGGTCCCCCTGAGTGTGCTAAACTGAGAAGAATCAGCCTGACTCCAGCCTGCATTTGGGACTGCTACCAGTAAACTGCCTAGAGTTCATCACACACAGCTGCATTTCGCACTGCAACAAACTAAAATCAGAACTCACAGAAGGAGAAACCCCGGAACTGAGGAAGAGAGGTATCAGAAGGGGGGAGGCATCCACCAGATCCAGAAAGGTCATCAGCTGAGACAGAGAGAAGATTAGCTGGGGAAACCCATCCTAGAAGAAGCAAGGTTCCCTGGTGTTCAGTGTAGGAATAGGGAAAGGGGTGGATTTTCCTCTGAATTCAGAGATGCCAAGACCTGTAGAATGTGGGAGAAGCCAGAGATCTCAGGGAACCACCAGAGTAAAGGGGAGATTCCCTGGGCTTCAAGAACAGCAGCAGAATAATGCTATGGACTGCACAAAAGTAGCAGCTCCTCCATAACCTCAGCTCAGTCAGCACAATGCAAAGCAGACTTGACTTACCTCGCTCACATGTTCTACCCCAGTAACCGGTGCCAGTGCAGTCACAGATGAAGCGGTTCCAACCGTCCTTGCAAACAGCATTGTTTTTGCATGGGTAACTGTCGCACTGCTTGGTGCTGAGGCGGGAGCAGGAGGACTTGACCCCTGCAGCATTCTGTGCCTCTGCTAGTTGCCGGATATTCTTGCTCCGTCCATCGATGAACAGGTCCCGGATGCAGCCTACGTAGCCATAGTTCAGCATGGCCGTCCACAGCTCTGTGGGAAGGATGAGGCCTGCCCGATTCTCAGGCAGGCCGCCCAAGTACATGTCCCCTTCCAGATCTAAGATTTCACTCTCCCCACTGGCAGTGAAAGGAGTGCGCCGGCTGTTCACTGATATAGTACCTGGTGAAGGAAAAAAATGAAATATTAGCTAAAAGCATCACTTTACAGCTCAGGGCTGGGTCAGTTTCTACAGTATATGCATACATGATGAATTCAGTCCAAAAAAATTAAAAAACCCCAGGAGAAACATATCCCTGTTTGTCCTTATTTCCCCTTCCCAACCTTTGTAAGTTCCTCAGGATACAGACTGCAGGTTCATACAGGTTTGTACAACACCTAGCACTAGAGCATCACAATCGGGATAGTATAAATTTTAAATACAACTCTTAGTTCATGTCCTGACTCCTAGGAAAGGAAGTTATTTTGATATTAAAAAAAAAAATTAAAAAAAAAATGAGAAACTTTGTGTTGGTTAATGGGTTTCACTTCTTAGGACATGGAATCACAAAAAAATAAAATAAATAAATAATGGAGTTAAAAGGCACCAGAAATGTTCAGGAGCAAAACAAACAATAGTAACAATATCATGTCACCTTTACATAGCATGCTTCACCACTCATCTCAAAATGTTTCACAAAGAAAGGTAAGCAACTTCATCCTCCCTTTTACAGATGCACAAACTGAGGTCCAGAAAGTAAAGCTGAACTCCTGAGAAGCAGAATTCTTATCATTAAGAGTGTAGTAGATCTGTTGCAATAAACTGTAGATGCTCCCAGGAAAATAACGGTCCCCTGTGCTGGGCACTGTATGCGTATATATAACCAGAGACAATATCTGTCATGAAAAGCTTGAAGTCTGAACACTCAAAGAATGGAAGGGGGAAACAGAGGCACAAGAAAGCTTTGTGACTACCCCTGGTCTATGACAGAGGAGGGAGAAGAACCCAGGTCTCTCATGTCCTGCTACTGTGCACCTATCACTAGACCACTCTGCTCTTTGTTCAGTCCTTTCTGTAACAGGGACATCTGCTCAATAGACACTGGGCAAAGAATCAGCAACTTTCTCCCACCTAGCTATAAATCATCACATTTGATTGTCCTGTCATTATGATACTCTGTGTCCCTGGAGAGGACTGCCTGTGCCTCAAGATTAATTCCAGATCACTGCGTTCTTTTATCTTATGCCCCTAGAATGGGGTGGGGGAGTTCAGTTAATAGAGTTTGCTCTATTCAGTGGATCTATGAGAAAGCGCAGTCACGTACATACGCTTTTCCTTTCCTTAAGCTGTAATATGCTTCTTGCACAAAGAACAGCACATATGGCACACAAGCAGAGTATTTCACGTGTGTGATGTTCTGTATAACTACAGGATAATGTCAGAGGCAGCAGAGTGTTTGAGGCAATAGTGGCGTTACAAATTAAAAGCTCAAAGAGAACGAGAACCATTTGATGAGCCATTTTGTGCAAGAAAGCTACAGCACCGCAGACATTTTTCCCTTTAAATGGCGAGCAGAGAGACGACGTGATACAATACGGGTCTGTGCACAAAGGCAGCCCATTGCAGAGCTGTGAGATGACAGTCATTCTCCATTCTGCTCTGCTGGAATCTCACGTCAGGTTATGGGGAACACACTCCCATAAAGATGGAGGCACTCTAAAGAAAGACAACAGAGATAAGCTGGGCTCTGTAGGGGGCAACTTCTGGGGAAAAAGAAAATGACCTGATTTTAACTTCTATAATCTGGCCAGTCAGACACTTAGAAGAGACAATCACAATCTGCAAAAATCAAAAGGGGAAAACCCAGCGGGAGGAGAGGAAATACTAGGAGTTGGGGTGAGGGTAGGGGGCTTGGAGTGCAAAACCACAAGGGATGGGATGAAATCAGGAGAGGAGTTATCAAGGCTGGCCATCAAGCCAAACTTCCTGACAGTGAGGTGTGTTATGCTGTGGAAGTCTCCACATGGAAGTGCTAGAAGCCCCATCACATGGAAGCAAACTGTCCCAGGCACCCCCAGGGACACTCCTGCACTGGCCCCAGGAAGAAGTGACTGGAGAAGTTGGTGGGTCTTTTCTATTTCTGACATTCGTTATTTTGCAAAGACAGAACAAATTCATTCTGAGACTCAGAAACACCAGGCTCCTGTGTCTTCTCATCCCTCAGGGGTCTCATCCCACAGGGCACCAGGGAAACAGACTGGGAGGGGCTAAGAAGTCAATGATCAGTATAACAGCACACTGATGCAGCTGGACAGTGAGCCTGCCAGTAAGGCCTTCAGTATCAGCAGGGGTGAGATAATGTGTTTCATGGACCACAACTGGCTGAGAATATTCCCTTGTATAATGATGTTCAGTATTCCCCAGCTAGAAACAGTGACAGGTTTCATGGATGCTAGTAGTAGGAGATTGGCTTGGGGACATAAAGGTTATGGGATACAGGAGCAGATGTGAGAGATCCAAGTATAAGATGTCAGTGCATGGAGAATATACATAGCTTTTGTTGCGCTGGCATCCGCAACAGACTGAAGTACACACAAAACCAAAGGGGTTGAGCCATGCCAGAGGATATTCAGGCAGGATGACTGTCCTGTTTCCTCAGGAACCACTCTCCCACTTTTAGTACCTGCTAGATCGGAGAAGTTGAACTTTTACAGGATATTCTGCTCAGCTCAGCGGAGCCCAGAGCTGTAGATTGCTTGAGAGAACTGGAAGACAGGACTGGGTAGGTTTGGAATGAGAAACAGAAGCCCTTGATCACTGGCTCAGTTACAAAACTCTATGGCCTATGTGAAATGAATCTGTTGTTCTTAAACACCAATCCACAGCACAAAGAGACTGGAAATAGCTGGTTTCCTTGCTTGGCAATCTACAGAAAAAAGTCAAAAACAGGAAAACTGCACAAACCAAACTCTCTTCCCATCCCTTTGGTCTCAGTATTTGGTACTTACTAATGTGATGTGGGGTAGCTCTCAATGCTGGTGCCCCCCTTATTTGAAGAGACAAAGGACAACAGTCACTAGGACTGTCAATCCAGCACTTTTCACCAGCACAAAATGCAAGTTTTCTTTTTTAAAAAAGAACAAATCTGTTCACTCTTGTTCAACAGAGCACATTTAATTTAAAGTCTGTTGTCTCTGATCAGGTTTCAGGCAATCAATAAACCTTCCTGCTGTGCAACAAACAGGTTATTCCTGCATCCTGCCTCCATGAGAAGATAGACTCCTCCCAGGGGTAATGTTGTCAATCACAGTCATCATTATTCATTGAAACGTGTTCTCTCTTCGGTTAGGCTTTTAGAAGCCATTTCAGTTACAGCTTTGGCTTCACTTCTTTTCCTTCTGACTCTGGAATTCCATGTCAGGGTTACCAACCCAAAACACTTTTTTTTACTGATAATCTGCAAACTTTTCAATCATAAATAATTTTTTTGTTACTGGTAGATGTTTTTTACTGAGATATGTTTTATATAATGTAAGTGTAAGCCTTCTGCCAGGCCCTGAATAAGGTGTGGGTTCAAACTAAAGTGAAAAAGTTCAGTTGTCAGTAAAAAGTTTGCAGATTATCAGTGAAAAATGTCCTTGGTTTGGCAGCCCTGCTTTACTGCAACAATGGTTTTACACCATACTGCATCCACTCCAGGGGTCCCCTACTCTCCTCCAGGCCCCAATACTCACAAATGCACCTTGTACCATGCTGCTCCTGCAACCTACCCTCCAGCCTTATATCTGCCAGCCCCTCTCCTCTCATCCCAGCATGGGCCCCCAAAGAAGGACCACTGTCTGTCTACCTGCCCCATAGCAGCATTACTGTAGATGGGAAGCAGCAGCAGCAGCACATGGGTTAGGGTCCGGGAAGCAGTGAGAAAGCCCTGAAAACAGCTGCTTTCAGAGTACTGTGAGAGACATCAGGTAGTACTGCTGTTCTCTTTCTGTGCTTCAATGATGCCTTCAGCTACTTTTCCAGCCACAGAGCTTCAATGAGCTCCATGTTTTTATGGAGTTGATTTTGTGAAGCTGTTTTTGTTTTTGCACGGATGATGCAATTTTTTAAACAAAATTTATGGATAGGTGCTTTTAGCCTAGTTATTTATGGGATGCCCATAAATTTATGCACATTTGGTAACCCTGATCCCTATGCAAGGATCATATATTCTCCATATGATCAAACAAAACAGTAAGCAGTAATGAATGCTATTAACAGAGTTCCCCCTTGTAAGTTAATTAAATTCTAGCAAATCTACAGAAATTAAAAGTTTGTTCATTTATTTATATCTTCACTTAGAAAACAATTCTATCAATAGCTTGGCTGCTAACACTATAAAATCACATACACTGAAACCTAGAAGGCTCCTATATGTAATGCAAAGAATTCCTCAAAGAATCATGGAAACAACCATCAATTTGGTCAAAGGTTGGCATTGTAATGATCCTTAACAGTCAGGACTTTTGAAAACCAAGGGGAAGCACATTTCAATGCTGAATTTCCTCTACTGAGAAAACCTTGTTTGAAGTCCCAAGAAACACATATCTAGGACTTTTATATTAACCTAGTGGAGGTCACAGCTCAAATCCCAAGCCTCATTGAACATGGAAACAAATTCCCTCTATAGCAACGTAAAGCAAGACATCCATTGCTTGATGGTCCATGACTTTTCACCTATTCACAAAAATCAAATCAAAGATATGATAATTTCATTTCCAGATATTACATCACAGCACACTAATAAGTGTGATAGCTTGACTTATGTCAGAAACAAACAAAATACCTCTGCAGCCTAGATATATAGTTTTGGGATTATTACTAATAACATGGAAAAATAGATTCAACTCTAAAATTAAGAAGCATCAAGGAAATTTGAAGGCTTATGCTCATCACATAGAGGATGAGGACTCACTATTTAGAAAGACATACCCCTCTCTACCGGGGCAGAATGCCTCATTCTTACCCATCTATCCTTGAGCACTCTTCTGTCCTCAATTTCCATTAGTCCATGCCACAGAGGAAGCAAGACACTCATCCACTTAAGGAATTTTCAGGGAAGCAGAAAAAGCCTGCTTAATGTTGCCTATCCTTGAGCCAGTGCATATGACTCCTGATCTGGACTGTTGTCTGATACTTCACCTTTATACCCTGACTTGATGACTCTAACTCCTGAATTTGCCTCCTGTTTGATACTTCAGCCTTGACAGCGGGAGTTAGTTGGACACGGGCAAGGAATTCAAGTATTTTCATACTAACAAACATTTTGGAAACAGCAAGCCAAGTGAGGAGTAAAGAGCAGCCATTTGAAGAAAAAGAGAAAGATTGGCCAAGATGATAGGTCAACACCTCTTATTTCCTCTTCTCCGCAACTTTGTAGTAATTTGAAAGTTTCTACCTATTAGTTGTGCTATCTAGTCTCACTTAGTTCAGGTTATTAGTCTACATGTATTAGAGGGTATTAAGCCACATCTAGAAGTTCTTACTTGGTTTTTACTAAGTGTTTCTTCAGGCAGCTCTCCCAGGAAAGTCAACAGGAGTTTGTTGAAATAAGGACAAAGTAATAAAGTTTATTAAGATGACCTCAAGATCTGTCCCAAACAGAAATAGCCACTATGATGATGTAGATAATTACTGTTATAAGTACAAATTACACAAGTGTGATGGGCTAGCTGGTAGTGACTTAGCCCAGGGGTTTTGAAAGGGTAAAAGTTGATTGGAGGGCTTGGGATTCCCTTTCCTCACCAATCAGGCCCCAGAGACTCACCCTCCATGTCCCCTGACTGGCCCCTTGGGTCACCTGGAGGGCACTGGTGGCTGACTCAGGATTGACCAGCAAAGGACCACAAGGAAGGAGTCTCAAAGGGCTGGCAAAGAGCTGGGCAGGTGGGGTGGGAGGAGTTTCCCCAGAAGAGCCTGAAAGAGCAGGACCTGCAGGCAGCAGTTGGACCCTCAGGAGCACGGTGTGCGGCCGGCAGGAGAGGCTCCTCACTGGGCTCCCGGATCCCCTACGAGAGGCTGCAGCCAGCAGGAGAGGCTCCCCAGCTCCAGCAAGGATCTGAGCAGGACCTGAGATGTTCCCAGTTCTGCTTCCAGCTCCTCCAAAAAGAGGCCGGGCAGCTTGACGCAAGGCAGGGGCTTCTGGAAGGTCAAAACCACTAGCAGCTTGGAGCAGTACTAGTACTAGTGGCTGTGTGGTAGAGTTTCTGCCTACCACATAGGAGAGCTTTGTTCGAGTCCCAGCTGGGGTGAGTGAGGTAACAGAAAAAACCTTGTTGCAGTCAAAAGGGGTCATTGTGTTTTTCCGCTTTCTACCCCTCCAGGTACCTAGGCCCTATATTCCTTGTTATTTGACATTTTGTATTTGTGCCTTTTATATTTCACCAACCAGTATTGTTTGTTCTGCTGTTTGTATTTTACATTTTGGTTAACCCTGTCTTTTGTCAACTGGATGAATATGTCTATGATTGTAAGTGTCTAACCTTTGTTGAATCCT